TGAGATTTGAACCGCTGAACTGCTGATCTAGCAGTAGCCTGCAGTGCTGCATTTAACCACTGCGCCACCTCGGCTCAATAATAATGAACAATAGATTATCATTATCGAGCTAAATGGTGGAAAAAAATGTATAAAACTCTTCTAACTGTAAAAAAGAGGCCCAAATAAACAAGTGAAATATGCCAAAATGGTCAAATGTAAGAATCCCTCAATGTGTGATGCTCTATTCACTCCATTTTCTAACTACTTTAGAATGTTTCCCATTCTTTATTGCAATCCGGATCAGGGCTCATTTCCAGCCATATTAATGTGGTGTGAGACTTCCACCTGTTTTAAACTAAATTGAGTTTTCACAGAGAGATTTTTGGCTTCTTTGATCCTCTTGGATAATTTTTATTCACACTGGGAGGAATAAAAAACATTGAGCTAAACTCCAAAGAACATGGCTTCTCATCACATTGTTTAATTTCTGTAAGGCACAAGGGAGGTAATGAGAATTAAAACAGAACATTTTTGCATTGATCTTCACAAGTCCTGGAGTAACCACTTTTCTCCATTCTGTGAGAATCCCTAGCCAAAGATAATTTGTCCCAGCTAGCTACCTAAGAAATGTAATGAATACTCTGAAAGCTTTCTGACAGGCGAGATTCAATTCTTTATTATTTAGGCCAACAGAGGGCAGATGCAATAATATGCCCTTGTCAAATGGGAGGGGTGTTTTGAGCTTGTCAATCAACTTTTACTCCATTTGCCCTTACTACAAATAACCCTTTAAAATGTTAGGCCTGGTTTAATGAAGAGAAATCACACTTTCTCTTGGTCCCTGAAGTATCCAGCAATTTAGCTAGTTTTTAGGTAATTTTCATTGTCCTTTGGAGATTGACAGTCTAAATGTTTTGTTTCTTCATGTCAAATATCTTGTTTATTTTTCTTATGTCTTGAATAAGATTAATCAATCTTTTTGTAACCTTTTACAAAAAGCTGTAACCTTTTACTAGATATTATTATTGAGATATTTTACTCAATTTTCTTTTACAATCTTTTTTTATTTTATTTCCTTGTTCTTATTTGAGAACTGCTCTTATTATTTGGTCTCACTTATACATTATCCATTTCTCTCCCTCTCCTTCTCCCTCCCTCCCTCTCTCTCTCTCTCTCTCTCTCTCTCTCTCTCTCTCTCTCTCTCTCTC